GAGGAGCGGCTCAACTCCGAGTCCCTCCCTGATGACCGAACTTCTCACCTTATCCCTAAGGGAGACACCAGCCACCCTGCGGAGAAAACCCATCTCGGCCGCTTGTACCCGCGATCTCGTTCTTTCGGTCATGACCAATAACCGTCAAATAATAATTCAGACAGGGGAGCTCCGCACCCCCTGCCTGCCGCTAGGGGGTGCTGCAGCGCCCTCAGCACCCCCCTTCCCGCGCCCCATGCACACACCACTGTGAAACCTTTGGAATCAGCTGTTATATTAATTCTTTTCTGATGTCCTTTCATATTGGCTTTTGTAAAAAAAGATTTCAAAGTTGTATTTACTAAATGCAGGTGGTCCCAAAAGTAAAAGAATACATGATTAAAAACTAACATTTTGTTGATATTGCCACATAATTGACAGGTGAGAAAAGTGTTGGAAAGTTGGATTTTTTTTTATTTCAGAGAAGTCTCGATGTTAAACTATATTTTGTGAGACTAAAGCACTATTAGCTGATATTTCTTGTTAACCCAAAATATATATTTGATTTCTTATGTGAAGTTTGCGTGTTTATAAAAGCATCATTGTGCACTTGACACTGAAACCTGTTCCTATTCAAATCTCCAATCTAAATGCTAAGCTTCCCGTTCCTTTGACCAAATACTAGGGATTTCTTCTCTCCCCATCTGTTGCACAGAGGACTGTTTGTCTCTTTCTGCCATTTCATTTGCAAAACAAACCCCTTTTTTTTTTTTTACCAAATACCATCCATTTGTAAAAAGGGCTTTCTACAATCTAAAGGCATAAAAGACCATTCAAAAATATAGACTATCCTTGAGCCTTTTGAATGTATCCATTCAAGCTTTGGTTGCAGGAGATAACTTCATACAGTAGTGTACATACTGTATAGTATGAGTAGTAGAGTGTAAGTTAAGATGGACAGACCTCTGGACAGGAAGCGGTGTGTGGCCAGCAGGAGCTGTGGGGATGTTCGGATCTTGGGTTCTCCCTCAGGAGGCTTGAAGAGAGAAAACTCCTCGTGAACGGTTCGAGGCTCCAGAGAAATCTCCAGCGGGGCGAGGGGCCGCTTCACCTTCCTGTCCACTACAGGAGGAGGATATCTTAATAACGTACATAGGATGCTAGATGAACAATCACATTTACAATCGACAAACTTACAGTAGCCGTCAGATTCATCCAGGATCTCTGATTTGATGATCTCCTCGATGACGTCCTCCAGCGTGACCAATCCCAGCACCTCGTAGAAAGGATCCCCCTCCCCCTCGTTGTTTACCTTCTGCACGATGGCCATGTGAGAGTTACCTGATAGTAGAGGATAGATCAGAAAGGAGTTTATAAAGAGATTATTAAAAAGGGTCAGTTCAACCAATTTACAAAAAATATACAATCTTACAACAATTTGAAATTATTAACAACATTAAGATCCTGCTTTAACATTAAGATATAACCTTTTTATATTATTTGTAACAGCATAACAGTCACAGTAGACATGTTTTTATTTGAAATGCTTAGTACATTTAGTAAAAGTTTTTCATGTACAACATCTCTTCAACGTACAAAAACATTTCATAATAAACATTACAGCACATGTAGTCAAATATTCAAGACTTTTAATACCTGCTTAGAACTTATTTTGAAGGAACCTTGATTATAGACTTTTCAAGCTGTAAAGATATTTAGTCAAATTGAACTTTAATAAATCTAAATAAAAGGATGAAAAAACGTTACAGCAAAGACACCTCTGCTATGACACTGAGTGTGAGCACACCTTTCTTGAACTCCTCCAGCATGGCGTCCAGTTTTGTGTCGTTGAAGACGTAGTGCAATGGGTGATTGTAAAACTTGGTGATAGTCGTCATGGGGGTGCAGTCGTCCGGGTCCACCAGAGCCAAGTCCTTCACGTACAGGATCTCCACGATGTTGGACCTGGAAAATCAAACACAAGTTAATGAGTGGACATGAGAATTGCCATGTGAAGAAACCAAATACCAAATCTATTGTTTGTTGGCACTGAAAGTTGTCTTTGTGTGTGTTTGCCTATGTGTGCTTTTGTAATGAGTTATAGGTCACTAAACCAACATTACCACGAGAAATCAAGTGTGCTCCAGAGAAGGCTTAAAAAAATAACTCTTTCATTTGGAAAAGTTTAAACCTTGAACTGATCCACATTGTTCTGCCTTATGGCTGAAGGTATCTAAATCCACAACTATATAAAAAGGAATAATCTAACATAACGTAGGGCTGTGCAATTAATCGTATTTTAAACGCAATTACGATTTTGAACTGCCACAATTACGAAAACAACATAATCGAAAAAAACGATTATTTTGCATTGCTAGGTTGTGACAGTGCAACATATTTGATCTAATTTATTTTTATTTATCATATTAATATATGTTTAGTAGCTTGTGGAAGTGCGCTCCAAAATATTTGTTGATCTTGTTTATTGGTATTTATTATGCTGATATTATTTATTTAAATTTAAATATAAATGTATCATTTATTTTAGTATTAGTTTTTCAGTTGAATTATACGTTCAGGGTAATCAACATTTAAAAGGATACTGTTCAAATTATTATTTGTATTTGTTTTAAAGTTCAATAAATGGATGTTTTCAAAGTCAATGAATAATCGTATTTAATAATCGTGATATCAATTATTGACCAACATAATCGTGATTATGATTTTTGCCATAATCGAGCAGCCCTAACATAACGTAAATAAATGCACCAATAGGACATACCAGATAAGAGACAGAGATTTATTTTCAAATGAAGGAGCCAAGTAAAATTACTTAAATGTCTGTTCTTGCATAAAATATATATTTTGAGCAAGAATTTAAACTTTTAAGGATTTCAAGGACCTGTGGGAACCATGCAGTTCACTCTCTAATATTTGTAGGGATAACATTAAACTTTACATTTTTAAATATATATTCCTAGCAATATGTTTTGTATAATACTTTGAGTGCTTTAACCAAATCCATTTCTAATCCTTCCCGGTCTAGCATCTGTTTCAAATTGTAGTTTGTAAGTACAATATTCTGGTTATTTATTGTTTTCACCATAAAACTACAACTTTTGTTTCAAAGTTTTGGAGAAGCCTTGTTCCTGAGCCCACCTCTCCTCCTCGTAGATGGGCACCCTGTTGTACCCGCTCTGCATGATCTCCGACATGGTGGAGAAGTCCAGGATGACGGAGCTGGGCAACATGAAGCAGTCCTTCAGCGGGGTCAGGATGTCCTCCACCGTCTTACTGCGCAGCATCCCGCGGCTGAACTCCTCTTTCACAAACTCACTGGGACAGAACACAGAGTAGATGAGACGTGGAAAACATAAAAAGGTTTTGAATCAGAATCAGAATTCCTTTATTAGTCCCCCAGCGGGGTCATTTACAGTGTTACAGCAAAAGTGGCATACAGCAGCAGGTAGAAAAATGCATGCAATAATAAAGACTAAATATATTTAATATGTATATATACGTCCCAAATATGTATATNTTATCTTTAAATTGTATTCATCTCTAATCTGTGTGAATCTGTGCTGTCCTGTTTTTCATTCTTACCCTGTTGCTGTTAAACTACTGAATTTCCCCACAGGGATTAATAAAGGTCCATCTTATCTTATTCCATTTTAAATCATCATACAACCTAGCCCCAATAAACAAAACAAAAATACATAGATCAAAGCATACAACAAACAAATAAAGTAATAAACATTATAATAAAACAACCACATCTAGGGCCTGTTAATAGGGCCCATCTAAATGTTATAGTACCCTATAATAAAGTAAACAAAGGCTTACCATCTTGGCTTTAATATTTTAACTAGCTTATTTAACATTTAAAGGAAGGCAATTACAGAGATAAGGGCTCCAGAGACGCAGATTGTGATATGCGTGTCTTTATTTACCTGTAAGGGTCATTGACACTGGTGCGGATCATCTCCATGGCCCTCTCCCTGATCCCACAGGTGGTGATGTCCCTCCTCAGCGCCAGGTCCAGGATCAGTCCCAGGGGGCAGGACAGGGGGAAGGTGAGCACCAGACAGACCTGGGCCAGCCAGGTGAGACCTGGCGCCAGCTGGAAGCCGTACCCGGAGCACAGGATGTGAGGAACCAGCTCAGCCAGGAGGAAGATGAGGAAGCCGCTGGTGAAGACGGCGGAGAGGATGGAGCCCAGCGCCCGGTACAGCAGGACCCCGAGGACCGAGTGGCCCAGGACCGACAGGAAGAGCAGAGAGCATGCCTGGGGAGAGAGGATACAGAGAAATACATTTAGGGTGAGAAACTCAAACTCAGCTGTTATATTCTTAATCCACAATATGGCTTCACCCTTACAAAAAGTTTCTTTCCATCATGCGTACTGTTTTTACAGACATAACACTTTATAGGGCACTATTAGGTTAACCCTAACACGTTTTAGGCCTATGCTGATTGGTCAAATTCCCCAATGGCGCGCTCTGTGGCGTAGAGTGATCTTTGCTGATTGGCTGGGAGAAAACCACATGCTTCTCGACCTCACTGAGGGACGCCATGTTTGGTGTGTGCGGAAGTTACCAAATATGGTTCCTCGCCCGATAAAGGGTTAACTGTCTTATTTAAGTGTAGGAGAGTATGTGCATTGACATGATTTTATTTAATGCCTAGCCTCTTGCAGAGTTGTTTTGTTGACTTTTGTCTTTTATTGATAAAGGTGAGACACTACGGGCAAAAACAGTGTACAATTTTGAGTTTGGACTATTTTTGTTCCATAACAGGTCTTTCTTTCACACTAGCGAAAATAAAACATCCAAAAACACATTTTGTTGTTTTTTTCCTCTGTCTACTAATTCCCTCAAAAGCTAGATATTTATATAATATAAATATTCTGAAATGCGTTATACAACAATTCTCTGTATGTATAAAATAAACTAGATACATTTGAAAAAGAAGGAGAAGAATTTTACAAAACTATTTATAAAAAGGTAGTGTTCTCAAAATAATGTATTTCTCATACTCTGAGCCAGAATTCTTCACATCAGTAGCACTTAGAAACTTTCCAGTTTCACTCCCAACAAAAGGGGTTGATAATATTAATAGCCTGAATAATGACACATTGTATCCTTAAAAAACATGGCACAAAGTATATATTGTTACGTGGCTGTTAATAGTATCTTTGGTTTTGGGAATGATACAAAAAGATACCCAGGATCCCCTCTCTAAAAACCTTGATTTGTCATTTCAAAATGTCAACAAAACCAAAAGCTTTTAACATTTAAAGTTTTGGATCTGGCTTTTTCCGATTATCTCTGTGTATACAAATTATGACACATACATTTTCAATGTTATTCATTATTAGAACAAGATTAGTTGTATTAATGTAGGCAATAACCTTGGGAAGAGTCATAGTAATACCCTAACAGCTGTCCCGACTCTGCCTGCTGATATGTGACTTTCCCACCTTGTTTTCAGAAACTTACCAGGAAGTTCCCTCTCCTCCTGATGGGCTCCAGGCGCTTGGCGGCCCGCTTCTCCTCCTCGGACCCGCAGCTGTGGAGCACATACAGCTCCACGGGGTCCAGCCACAACAGGCTGAGGTTCACTGTCCTCAGCAGTCCGCACACCAGCAGCAGCAACACTACCAGCACCGCCAGCCCCCAGGGCGGGATGTAGTCTGCGGGCAGCCCGGTGTCGGTGTTGATCCGCAGCCGGTCCGGGCCCGAAGAAGCCCATTTCCCCCCGCTCAGCACGCACAGGTGGTAGTAGGACTTCCCGCTGCCGACCCCCGCAGAGATGCTCCTTTTTCGGACCTTCACCGTTATGAGCCCGCTGTATTTCTCATCCGGGGTGAACACCCCCGTCACCTGGAAGGCAGACTGCCCACGGCTGGACTCCTGTCCGCAGGGGTCAGGCGCATCCCCGACCGCCCCTGCCGCTCCGCCAGCTGCCCCAGCAAACGCCACCCACGGCCAGCTTCCATTCAGCTCAGTCCCGTAGAGACGGAGCTTGAACGTGGCTCCTTCTGGCGCCGAGATGATGCGGTCCTTCATGCACACCAGGCCCGCCGGGCTCTCCAGTCGCAGCCCCAGCACCAGTGGAGCCTCTTGGCTGCAGGCGCCGTACCTGATCCCGCAGAACAACACTATCTTCAACAGGAACCATAGACCTGCCAAGCTGGCCACCATATTGGAATTGGTCAACCTGGCTCTGTACGGATCATGTGACTCCTGCCCCACAACGGTCCCGCCCACCCGGGCTAAGCCAGCCAAACAAAACGAACACTGCAACTGAGTTCCGTGGCGGCCATTTTGGCTCTACGTATACAGGTGGAGCTCTGGGAAATCTGTTCATTTTGGGGCTTGGTTCTGAATGGTTTTGTTTTACAGCACCGCCTCCTCTGAAAGCCAGCGAATTGGAGTTTGAGCTCACAGCCAATTCAAGACAACGAAGCAAGAAGGAGCTAACGCCCATCTTTGTTAGATTTCATGAAAACAAGTCAGTCATCACCCTGGGCCTTAGACACAGTTCACATTAATTGAATCAATGCAAATGTAATCACATTAGATTTGAAGAAAATATTGGTTTATCCCTTTCTTAATTCTGTTTTTATTTTCTCTCACTTTTATATTTTGTTCTTTGTTTAATTAAATGAATGAAAAAATTGTATTATTTTAAAACAAAACATTTGAACTATCCTGTAAAGTGAGTTGCACCTTTAACACAATACATTTTTTGATTTGTTTAAAGTCATAAAAAAAGGATTCCCTGTTGTGTAGGCTATGCTTGGTTGTTGTAATGTTTTCATGTTTGCAGTCAGTATGAGAAGTGCAGGATTGTGAATGAGAGAAATATAATAACCAGCTTCCTTTTGATAACAAAATGTGATTATCCACCCAAATGTCCTGTAAATAGTTCTAACGGGAAGTGAAAAAATCCTGCAGACCAGAAAACTTAATTCCAGTAATCCATAGAAAACTTTGTATATGAATCAAACAAAGACAGATTTTCTGTAGAGAAATATATCTCAGGTTTATTAACCTCATAGTTTTCTTCAAATGCCTTACATTACTTATAAAACAGTATGTACACATTGCTTTAAAGTTACACAACCAATGTTTGGAAGTGTACTTCCATCTTTGTTCAGCCATTGCAATAACAGAAAATTCCCCTCCAATACAAACATGTAGCCATTTCTGAATACTCAAACCTGCCAAACAAGTATCGACTTTATACACCCTTGGGATATTAAAAAGGAAAATAAGTTTACCTCCATATTTAAATCCATAATTCCAACACCTGGATTTATTTAAAGTTTTGTTGCAACGCTTACCTATAAATATGTGTGTCCTTTATGTGCTTGAATTATCTCAATACTGCACTGCAACTCTGAAAAAGTTGATAAATACGGCCTAATATCTCTCTGGTACAAAGTAAGCTCCACAGAAGAATGATAATAGATGCAAAAACATGTTTTGGGGCAATTCATTCTCCTCTCCTTTGTTTCTGCATCGCTCCACATGCATGAAACCCTAAACTATCTCAACAATCCAATTGAATGATACACAGTGTGGAAAACTCACTGGCCTGAGAACCCTGCTCCAGAAAATATTTAACCTTCGTACAGGTCTAATCATCACACCGCTGCAGGGCTAAAAACAACACGACAGGAGTTGCTGATAAGCCCTGCTCCCCCGCTTCAATCCCATGATAGAAAAAAGGTCTGAACAATAAAAAGCTTAGCAAATGAGACCGGTAGTGAAAGCCGCAGGAATTTCAATACTTTTGAGCGGCGGGAGACAAGTCAAGATAAGGGCCGGGAAAAATGAGAGGAGGGAAAGTGAGATGGAAGCGTGGGAGGAGAGACGAATAGACGGAGACAAAGGATGGCGAAGGATGGCAGGAAAGGGGAAGGATGGGAAAGCATTTCTTGCAGATAAAAAAAGCCTTTGGTTATCATGGCTAATAATGAAGAAGGCTACAGAAGATAGGAGTTGTACATTAATATTTGAGGTCAACTCTGTGCAATGTTTATTGCTATTTAATGCCTTCCTAGCAAAACAATGGGGAATAAAACTTGAAATAACATCTCATCTCTCATTATAAATAGAGCTATTTTAAACATTTCTTTCAGCATCACACAAATGCCGCTCTCTTCATGTACAGAGTATTTACAGTCATATCACACAAACAGCAATCAGGGAACTGAACACAGTGTTTCTGGGTAAATTAACCCAATAAAAGCTGCTTCTCACAGCTGGAAGCCCGTTTAACAGAACCACACCCTCAGGTGCCTATAACAAAACAAAACAAAACAATAAATACAATGTTTACAATAAATAAAACATGAATAAGTAGAACCATTGTTTGCACATTTCCCAGTACACAAACTGGCAGTCACACAGCCAACCAGTGGCTTTACTGGAAACCAGTATAAGACCAATTGCTACATGAGACCTATATGAACCAGCAGGCAGGTCTACATTTTCATCCAATAAGGCTAAGTCCACTATATATTTCAATTTAACTAGCAGGTTTACCCCTCAGGTAAGTACTCTATAAGGTCCTGCTGAATTAAATCTAAGGTTTTCAGAGTGCCGATTTTCTTCAGGGCCGGAGCCACCTGATAGGGGGCCCCTGGGGTAAAAATGAGCTGCTGGGACCCCATTCCTTCCCCCACTCTCTGTGCATTGCTTGAACACAGGTTTACTGTATGGTCATTTGGTAAAGCACAATTAAATGTATCAACATGCGAGCACATAACTGAAATAATGAGGTCTTAAAAGTAGATTTTTGACATCTTTAAGACCTCAAGGTGAGAAAATAAACTTGATTTAGGGCTTCAGAGTTGCATTTACCCATTCATTTAAAAAATAAATCAAAATACCAGTGAATCTGGGAATATTTTGGGCGACCCCAGCGTAATTTGTAAATCCAAATTTGGAAAATCTTCCCACAAAGGAAGAAATGCTTTGGATTATCACTTTTTTCAGACTCACTCAAAACTGACATGTTTAAAGTGTTTTTCAAATCAGTGCTTGCTTATACAATAGTTGTTCATTGTCTTATATTTTCTAATAAATCACTATATCATCAACAAAATAATTATCTCCAGTTACTTTAAATCTTTTCAGTGTCACTGCATACATAGGAAAAGAATAGGTAGATTACATGCTAGCAGCTTTAACATCTGAGCTCAGAATGTGAGGAGTGAGTTGCTACAGTCGTCTTCATGTTAATCTCTTATCTCCACTGGAACACAACCCAACTTCCTCCAACTCCTTGTCTGCTGCAAACACGGGTTGAATAGGTTCAGTATCATTTACACACGCAGTACAATGTACCTCACATTGTTTCAAGTGGCAAACAGACGTATGTTTGCCTGGTAACAGAAAGCAACATGAGAGTTTATCACACCACATTTAGTCCTGACAGGGTTAACATCAGTAGTGTGAAGACATGCAGTGGAATGTTTGTTGTCCATTAAATCTCGAGTTATTGTGCTGTGAGTGTTTTCAATATTCAAGTGTCAATCCTTAACTCAGGGCTAACGGCAAGCTCAAAGGTTAACAAACACACGTGTGAAACACAAGTCACTTATTTTCTTGCTGAGAGTTAGATGAGCACATCAATTCCACTCTCATATCTGTCCATTAAATGTGAAGAGAAAGCTTGTGTGTAGTGGGGCAGAATGTTTGTGCCATGCCAAGCTGACTGTGTCCGGAAAGTAGCTTCATATTTAATGTAAAGAGTGGTATTGTTTTTCTCATCCAACTGTTGGTAAGGAAGCTAAAAAGGGTATTTCTTAAAATGTAAAACCATAAACGTAAAACAGTTTGCAAGTTGTGACTGAATCAGGGCCGGGGCTACTGTACTGTTCTGCATTTTCTTTCTATTCATTTTTTGGGTACTAGCAATGTTGGGAAGAAGAAGGAATACATTAACCCAACGAATTTAGTTTGCTTTGTTGGTTTTAAGCGTTGGAGTAGGTTGGTTTTAAGCGTTGGAGTAGGTTGATTCCTCTCATATGAAGGAATCAATCCTCTCATCTAAAACCTCTCAGGCCTCTCCATTATATAGGACTAGCAGAAAACATAATTGCCGATTCATGCTTTAAAGATGAAAATACGTTCTTTTTTGGGGAGTATTCAGTATTGCTAAAATCCTGGCTGCGGCTCTGCTTACAACCATAATCTTCCAGAATATGTTATCAGACTCAAAAGATTCAAAAAACATGTAGACATATCCTCATTAAACTTGAACAGCACATACTTGCTTCTGAAAACAGATAGCATTACATTTCTCTTTGCTCTTATTTGGTCTTCATGTCACTCTGTCAGTCATCCAACATGTGCATGCTTACACATACAATAACAAATGAAACATTCCAGTGTAACTTTCATCCAAATGTCAGTGAACGCACAGTGTTACAACCTCTAAAGATCCAGTTTGGTCAGCGCTTGGTGTCATGGTGATTTGAGAAGCAGCTGGTTTCACTCCGAGCTCCATCACAGTGAGGAATCCATTCACAAGAAACAGTGTCTGAAGAATGCAGCTTGTCCTTCAACTTCAACTGCTTTCAAGAACCAAAGAAAGCTACAAAATAAATAAAATCTCTAAAATATAAAACAAATTAAATGTCAATATGTATATATAAATATACTTTACATAAATAAATATCACTCTTGGAAATTAAATAATTTTAAACATATTGCCTTGGTCAAGAGGTAGGCCATAAACATCCACCTCACATCACCAGATTTAGTGACTTTAAGGACCATACCGATGTTTTTGCAAGTTCTACAAGTATTTCCATTTCTAATTTATATTATATTACTATTTTATATTGCATGCATAACATCCTTTGTACTCTCTTGTTGACTCTGGGGTGTTCAGACTGCCATTGGTTTCAATAAATGTTTTGTAGTGTATAAAAATACATTAGCATTCATAAACTATAACAAAAGTAATAAAACATTACATTTGCCAATTCATATTTAGCTTTTTTAAACACTGTATTCATTTAACAGTGTATTATTCTAATGCAGAGTATTCACAGTTTGTATTAATGGGTGAAAACATGCAAAATCACTGGTATGGCTTCCACTCAGTACTCTGACTCTGGTCTGCTGGTGCTGAACTGACAGACAGACAGAAGCAGCAGACAAACCAATGTATTGGTTTTCATCCATCTTAATAAAAGTTACCCCATGGAACAAAATCAAAACTAAAGTCATACTTATCGTACATTAAAGCATAAACTTAAACCAAAAGTTTTACTCTTTGGAAAAAAAAAGGAAATTGAGCCAACCAACTAAACTGACCCCAGCCCTGATCTGGCAACACCAACCTATATTGTGAGTTTTTTGTTGATGTCTTACCAGTGATGATGTTGAGGTTCAGTTCACATTAATTACAAAAAACCCTAAAAAGTTTTAGTTTCATGTGAAGAGGTTTTGAGATATCTTCGCTTCAATACAAAGGACTTTAATGTTTGATCTTTATTCTACAGGATAAAACCTTTTGTGAAAACACATCTGGTACATTTTGGTTTAAAACATTGAACAATGGTCTTTGGCTGATGTTAGTTTGGTTTCAGGCTCAAAATCGGACTTTACAAGTCATTATTTCAACTTGGCAGTTGACGTGAAGATACAAGTCAGACATGTTACTCTGACATGAAAGCAGGATAAGAGGTTAGCAATTTCATTTTTTCTGATAGGCAGATAAGTATACGGTTCTATACAAGTAACATGGATATATTTTGTAGTTTATAAGCAAAAATGCATTTTAGGCTTTTCAGAATTGATGTCTACAGACCCCAGTGTGCTCAAACAGATGATCTCCTCACTGTAATGCATTTCCTGTGAAAACGGTTCACAGTGAGGTCAGTAGATGATCCACAGATACTGGAACAATTGGTTTTGTAGAGGCACGTTGCTTCTGAGTTAATTTTTCACAAAAAAAAGTGGAAGCAGAAATCTCAAAACCTGGACAAAAAATAAAAATAAAAACATTTGCAAGCCTTTTTGTAATCCTGGTGAACTGACCCTTTAAAAACACACACACACACAAGACCCATTCTTCATTTCCAATCGTAATCACTAGTGTTCCCTCTGCCTTCGTTGTGTCTATACTGCATCTTTTTTTAGTGTCGGGAAGGGATCATGCAGGAAGGGATAAAAGAGGATCTCCGTTTATAAAATACACGTAAAGTGCTGATCCTCAGCATACCCAAGAACTCTACAGAAAAGTTCAGGAGACAACAAGCAAACAGGAAACAGGAAGTAGTGCGAGAGTGTGTTGTTTGAGTGAGTGCGCAGGTAGTGTAGTTCCTACTTTAGTTAGATGGTGCTTTCAGTGTGTGTGTGACTGATGGTGTGGACGTGAGGGTTTGCCTGGGCACGTTCACAGTTCTGCTGCTCACTGAGCAGAGTGGTGGTCTCCCCCGGCCCGTTGTCCGGGCTACCAAGGGGGCGCGACGGCTGGGACTTGGAGGAGGGCAAAGTGGAGTGGGGGATGATGGTGCACGGCGCTAAACTCATGGAGGACGGAGGGGGCAGGGAGAGCGGGATGTGGTTGCTCGGAGGGGGGGTGACTTGGGGCAGAGACTGGCTGGGTCTGCGGCGGGAGGAGGAGGGGGGGTGCTGGGGCAGAGCGGCTCGGGCACCCGGCTGGATGTTAGACGGCGGGTGCTTTGCAGGAGGCGTGGCCAGCGGCAGCGGAGAGCGGCTCCCCGGGGGGGTGATGGGGGGCAGAGACACAGACGTGTCCAGGCGGGTGTTGCTGCCCTCTGGGGACTGAGGCATGCTGTCCAGCTTGGACGCCAGGAGGCCGTTCTGGTACTGAGCCCGAGTGACCTGAGGAATGCAAGACACCAACGATAAGAGGATACAAAAATGAGGGGTGTTTCACAATATGATATACATTCTTTGGACAATGATATTTGCTGTTTTCATGGATGATTCCATTCATCTCGAATACTGCAGAGTCATGGATTTGAGAATAGTTTTTTATTTCATACCAATGAGCCACACATCAAAAAAGGTAAATGATAAAGGATTGTGACCTGGTGCGGTGACCCAAACCCTAAATTGGGACCCCTGGACTAAATCAGCTCACTCTATATAAAGTAGTTAAAACTAGTTTGATGTGGAGCAACAAAGCACACATGTTGCATCCTGACATCAATTAGGAAATAAAATGCTGTGGCAGGACAGTAATCATCTAATATAACCATTGTATTTTTCCTGAAGCTGTGAGAATTAACAATAGCCATGTTTGATATTTATCTTCAATATAATATGTTTACGTACAGAAAAATAATTTTAGAGAAGTGGCATAGGAGAGAGGACTGAAAGGACGGGTTGTCAACGTTCACAACTTAGCAACTTGTATGCAAGATGTTAGCATTTGAAGCTTGTTCTTCTAGCCCCTTTCATGTAATGGACAACACTTGGCTGGGTTTTTCAGTTTGGGAACTTAATACTTACTGTACTCCAGCAAGCATCTCAAGACAACCAACCCTAGCTTAAAGTAGGATTTTGATTTCAGGGTTTCTTCTTGTTATTAGCAGTATTACATTAATTAATTTGTACTTTTACACAAGTAAAGGATCTGTTACTCTTCCTCCCTGTTTACAGTAGAGTTGCCTGACCGGTACCCACCTTAACAAACTGCAGGTGTGTGAGAGCACGTACACTAAAGTCTGGTGTGTACTGGAAGGGGGTCCCCGGGATCTGAGTGACGCTCCCCCCGACGGAGCCGTTATCTGGAGCGCGCTCAGTGCAACTCAGAGACGCCGAGCGGTTCAGGTTCCCGCTGTGTGACGGAGAACGGAACTCTGGGGATTAACACAGAAGAGAGTGAGCTAGAGGACGAGGAAGAAAATACAAAAAAAAAAACGCAGACATGTACACTTAAACATCAACAAATGCGCAAAACATTGAGTACAAACAAAGTAAAAATGACATGAAAACAAGATGAGCCAAGTAACATATCACACACATGTACAGTAATGTCAACATCACACATGTGCTTTATGGTTTAATGGAGGAGATGAGTTTGTTATGCAAAGAATGCGACAAACATGCAGACTGCGATTAGACAAAGTGCATCGTTTGAGCATTTTATGGCTAAAACAGGACTGTCTGAGTTCAGATGAAGCTCTGTCATTGGCTTGTTTTAGTGATGTCATGGAGGGTGGCGTTATTCTCTTATTAATGAAAGTTAAAGGAGAGCGTTGGCAATGATCAGAGGACTTGATTTCAGCGTTGTATAGATCAAGTGGGAGGCACAGGAGTGTGAGCTTAAGGAATAGTTTAATATTTTGGTATATACTCTTTAGAGATTTGAGATGATAGGATCAATTCCAAAAATGCCAAACTATTTCTTAAACAGATGTCTACAGTCATGGGAGTTATTTCATATCTCAGTGGGTTAAAGGGAGGTAGTGAAAACAGAGGGCCTTGAGCCGCATCCAGCAAGTTCCTCCTAACTGATAGACAGCTGTACTGATATTTTCTGTATACATTTCAGTATTTTAGGTCTGAAATAACAGGCAATAATTAATCAATCAACATAAAGTGAATAGAAACATATTTTAACAATGGATTAATTGTTATTTAACAAGCATAAAATTGACTCATCCTAGTTTTAAATGTAAGAAATGGCATTATTCGTAATGTTAAGCTATCTTAAAAGGTGGGGTATGTAATTTATTTCAGAAACACTTTTTGTTATATTCCATGGAATGCTCTTAACATCCAGATAGCAATGAATACTTGCTATCTGGATGTTAAGAGCATTCCATGGAATATAACAAAAAGTGTTTCTGAAATAAATTACATACCCCACCTTTTAAGATAGCTTAACATNCTGCACTCTAATGATTAAAATGTGAAATACAATGTAAAATACCGAAAAAAACCAGCTCACTAAAACACAACCGCTCAACACAACTGCCTCCAACGCACACATAACTTAATTCCGCCCGCCTCGGTTCATAGAGCGCGAGATGTTCCCGGATGTAATTATGAAGCGTTTGACGTCATGACCTTAAAAAAAAGC